GGCTGAAAAACAGGGCTCTCTTCAACCTAGAGACTTGAAACTGCTACTGTGTGTTCCTTGACCTCACAGGTCCAACATGTGTAAATTGCAGACAGATTGGAGCTTGTGAAATGTCTTGTGGCAGGCGGGCCAAAATCTGCTCGCACACGGGTCCCTTAAGGGCCTTCGAAAAGGTCCGACGGCCGCGATTTCGACGTGCGTGGATGAGACAGTAGCTGGAATGCACCACCCCAAATTTCGTGCGGCCACGCCAAGCCGAATTCAAACGGCGGCCCAAAAGTGTGAAAATTTAGCTCAGGCTTCATTTGCGGCCTTCTGCCATTTCACATGCATTCACATGCATTTTTGCCATTTCCCTTACATGAATGTAAAAGCAATTTTGGTCTCCAACTTGAGGCCCTTTTCGGCCGCCATTCGGCCATCGTTGATCCGAGGCGCCTGGAAATTTTTTTGGTGCATCCCAGCACTGGTCCGAACCACAGATTTCGAATTCGTGCTGGTCGCATAGTGCTAAGCGTCCGTTTGGAGCTGGAGGGCAGTTTTCACTCCTTTTTTCCCTCCATTTCTGCCATGTGCTCGGCAAAGTGGCATTTCTCAACCGATTTTCACCAAACAAACATCGATTTGGCACGCCGCCGTCACCCCGATCTAGCCCAGGCAGTTTGGTAGCCGTAGCTCGTTGTTCCGGTGCTGTTCTGGGTCAGAGGTCAGAGAAAATGATGGATTTCAGCTGAAAAACAGGGTTCTCTTCAACCTAGAGACTTGAAACTCGCACTGTTTCTTTACATAGCTGACAGCTACAACATATTCAGTTTTCAAGTTGCTGGCTTATTCAGAAGGGTCAAGGTTCACAGCCTCTTGGTACGTGCAGAAAAAATGATGGATTTGGGCTGTTTTGGGGCTGAAAACAGGGTTCTCGTCAACCTAGAGACTTGAAACTTGTACATTTCCTTTAGATAGCAGACAGCTACCACATACGTCGAGTTCGTGCCGGTCGCATCGTGTTAAGCGTCCGTTTGGGGCCGGAGGGCAGTTTTCCCTCCCATTTTTGCCATGTGCTCGGCAAAGTTGCATTTCTCAACCGATTTTAACAGAACAGACCAAGGGCGTAGGAACCGGGGGGGATGGGTGGGACGTGTCCCCTCCAATATTTGACAAACTCGCATTCGTCCCCCCCAATAACATGGAGAAGAAAAAGAGTGATTTTGAAATATTTGACTCGCGAGCTTTTATTTTGAAAGACACCGCGGACTTCTCTCCGACACAGCCCCTCCCCTCAGGGAGTTAGACAGGCTGGCTGAGTGAAGCAGGAGTCAGAGCCGGGGCAGACACAGGTGTCAGAGACAGACGGCAGCAGCTCAGCGAGTTCTTCTCATGGGCAAAAAGAGGAAAGAAAGGAATTGTGAGTTGGTAATAATTTAGTCCAAGAGTATAATTGTATTTCTGGTCAAACGCTAAAATGGCTGACTAGCGTAAACAGCTCAGCGAGTTCTTCTCATGGGCAAAAAGAGGAAAGAAAGGAATTGTGAGTTGGTAATAATTTAGTCCAAGAGTATAATTGTATTTCTGGTCAAACGCTAAAATGGCTGACTAGCGTAAACATCTTGCTAGTTAGCATTAAACATTAAACAACACTACTAGTCAACAAAAAATGGCGAATTTTACAGTAACAGACAAAAACCATTTGACACGAAATTAATAAAAAAGTAGAATCTCCACATAAAAAAGGAGTTTGTAAGTGTGATTGTTGCTTGTTTGTGACATTCTCATCACATTTCATTTTTAAACCTTATTCATGTCACTTTTTTCATATAAGAGACCAGAGGAAGTTCAGCAGGAAATGATGAAGAAGGTGAGACAGGCAGCGCCAGACCTGCTGAGGGAGAGACAGGCAGCATCAGACCTGCTGAGGGTGAGAAAGGGAGCGCCAGACCTGCTGAGGTGCAGGTAGGTGCTACAGTGAAGTGAGATTTTAGATGGTTGATGATGAGAGGAAGATTTGAGCATGATAACAAGTGAACACGACTAAATAATACTATAACAACCATGATTTTAATGTTGCACTAGTCGTCCAACAGTATTTTTACTCCTTATTCATGTCCACTGTTTTTATATTAGAGATCAGATGAAGTTCAGCAGGAACCAGTTGAGGGTGAGACAGGGAGAGCCAGACCTGCTGAGAGTGAGACAGGGAGAGCCAGACCTGTTGAGGGTGAGACAGGGAGCACCAGACCTGCTGAGAGTGAGACAGGGAGAGCCAGACCTGCTGAGGGTGAGACAGGGAGAGCCAGACCTGCTGAGGGTGAGACAGGCAGCGCCAGACCTGCTGAGGGTGAGACAGGGAGCGCCAGACCTGCTGAGGTACAGGTAGGTGCTACAGTGAAGAGTGAGATGGTTTTAGGTTGCTGATGAGAGGAAGATTTTAATGTAATAATAAGTGAACACAGTTAAATATATGTAATCCCATTACAAGTAGGGCTGGGCACAGTACGGTTTAAGAATAAATTACATTCTGTATACGCTTCCTTAGAAATATTAAAAAAATAAGTGTTAAACTCTGCTTTCTGGTGCATTTAGACTGCAGTTTTGGCCACTGTTTGTTTCCTTTGTCCATCTGAATAATAACGTAGTTCCAGCTGTTGTTGTAAGTGAATTATTTCTTTTTTCATTCTGTCAGAAACAAACAGAATTTTCTGATTGTTGGTCAGCATTGTTGGCTGATGTAGTTTAAAATATTCTGATGAGAGTCAGATCAATTCAGACTGAATGTTCACAGCTTTAGTCTTGTATTAAATCTGTTTACACATCTCTACCCATAGGAATAAGATAATATATCCTACATTCATATTATTAAAATATATCCTACATTCATATTATTAAAATATATCCTACATTCATATTATTAAAATATATCCTACATTCATATTATTAAAATATATCCTACATTCATATTATTAAATAAAAATAAAACACTACTGACACATAAACAGCGTTTTTATAATTAAAACGTCCACGTTGGCCGGTAATCACCTGGATCCGGCTAATGGGGAGTAAGTAAGTAAGTAAAAGTAAGTAAGTAAGTAAGTAAAAGTTTATTTATAATATAGTGCCTTTCACAGATATAAATCACAAAGTGCTGTACAACATGATAAAGATCAGGGCAAATACCTCTAACCAATAAAAACATCAGAAAAACAATAGCAGTGATAAAATAGAAAATAAAATCATGAGTATAAACAAAGTGAAGGTGTGAACCCGAAAAAGCCATCTTTTTGAACATTTAGGGAGGGAACGCCTGGATGAAAAGGTGAGTTTTTAGATGATTTTTAAAGACCTCTACAGTGTTAGAAAGACGGAGATTTGAAGGTAGATTGTTCCAAAGTCTGGGTGCAATAGTCTGAAAGGCCCTGTCCCCTTTGGTTTTCAGTCTGGTCCGAGGAACAGCCAGGAGGTTTTCAGATGTGGATCTAAGGTTCCGAGAGGTGGTGTGTGGGGATAAAAGCTCAGATAGGTAGCTTGGAGCCTGGTTGTTAAGAGCTCTATAGGTCAGGACTAAAACTTTAAACTGAATTCTATATTCTACTGGGAGCCAGTGGAGGGACTGTAAACCTGGAGTGATGTGAGCTCGTCTGCTGGATTTGGTTAGGAGTGTTGCTGCTGCATTTTGGATGGCTTGAAGGCGTGAGAGGGAGGTTTTGCTGAGACCAGTAAAAAGAGCGTTACAGTAGTCTAAGCGTGATGACACAAAGGCATGGATGACTTTTTCCAGATCTGCAGTAGAAACCAGTTTACGGACTTTTGAAATGTTTCTCAGTTGAAAGAAACAAGAGCGGGAGATGGTTTTGACGTGCGAGTCTAAACTTATAGCTGGATCAAAAATAACTCCTAGGTTTCTAATGTTGGCCTTGGCTGATGGGCAAAAAGAGGCAATTTCTTGCTTGATTTTTGGCTGAAGTTCCGGGGGTGCAGCGATCAGGGTCTCTGTCTTGTTAGCATTGAGGACAAGAAAATTGCTGGACAGCCAGTTACTGATCTGGGTCAGGCAGAGTACAAGTGTGGCCAGCCTGTCTAACTGGTGTGGCATAAAGGACATATAGAGCTGAATATCATCAGCGTAGATGTGGTAGGAGATGTCTGGGAAAGACTGAATGATGCCAGCTAGGGGAAGAATATAGAATGCGAATAGTAGAGGCCCTAGAACTGAACCTTGTGGGAACCCGCATGTTAGAGAGGCAGTATCTGAAGAGAAGGTTTCGGACTTCACTGTGAATGTTCTGTTGGTGAGATAGGAAAAGAGCCAGTCTAGAGCAGAACCTGAAATCCCAGCCAGGGCCTTTAACCTGTTTAGTAGAACGTTGTGGTCTACAGTGTCAAAAAGAGCCTAAGTCTCCTCCCCTTCTGGCTGGCTCATGGGTCCCCGATTAAAAAACAACAACAGAATGTTAGTGAACTGGGCTATAAAAGTTATTTTCTTGTCTTTCTGGGCTTTGCCTTACGCCCTGAGTCACATCTGTCAGACTTTTCTAATCCTAGAGTTTCACCGTCTATCAGATTTTCTATCAGAAGCTAATGCAGGAGATAGCGGCAGGAGACTATGTTCATGTTCAGCCTGCATGAAACACTCAGTGACACGTTAGAATCAGAAATAATCATTTAATGTATTTTTTCAGTGAAGTTGACCTACGGTATATATTGACCTACAACAGATTTGTTAGATTTCCAAAATGTGTCTCCCCCCAATATTAAACTCGTTCCTACGCCCTTGGAACAGACATCAATTTGGCATGCCGCCCTCACCCCGAGCTAGCCCAGGCAGTTTGGGAGCTGTAGCTCTTTGTTCCGGTGCTTTTCTGAACCCTAGGTCATCAGAGGTCACGCCCTTTTTTGGCCACAGCTCCTCAACGGAACGCCCGATCCGTCCCGTTTTTGGAGAGGTGGTCCCCGTGGTGCCAAGCAATCATAATCCGCTGTCAAAATTGAAAGAAAAAAAAAATGTCGTGTCTGAGTTTGGCCAAAAATGCCCTCTTAGACCCATCGCCTCAAAGAGGACTTGTGTTTTCCTGGTAGAAGGTGGAAAGAAAAAGTTCTGCTGGCGCCAGCGGCGCCATCTTCGGATATGTGGTTCGGGGGCCAAGCATGAGTCCATCCGAGGTGGTTTGGTGGCAAAATATTTTGTGGTTCCGGAGATATAGCCCCCCAAAGCGCATGATTTTTGCAAGTTTGCAATGGCGCAATTCTAGCGCCGTGAGGGCTATCAAAAAGGCGAGTAGATTTTTGCGCTCGTACCGGACTTCCGAACCAGAGAGTGAAAAATATTTTTTGACTGCGCCCCCTAGTGGCCGAACTTGGTCAGTGAGCGACGTAGCGTGACGCAGCTGTAACTCCCTCCAAGTTGAAAACGGACACAAGGCGTTCTTGAATTTTGACTGGCATTTATTGCACACAGGTGCCACCAACGGTGCCATGAGAACTGTACAAATGACATAGAATAATCAATTCGTTCTCATAGAGAATAAACAATGAAACACTAATACACAAGATAAAACACTCACAATTTACATTTACAAATTACCCGTGACCACCATAGACTCGACAGTTCTGTCACAAACAAACATCTTATTTTCCCATCACGACATAAACACACACATTGCATACCTCATTGGCCGCATTAACTTGCAGGGGTTAATAAAAAACACATCTTGCAGTGTCACTCCTTTCCACAGCTGGAAAACGTCGTTGCATGCGTCTGCATAGCTCTACCAACGAATGATAGCGGTTAGCATGCTGCCGCCTATCAAGTGTGGCGTGCAACTGAAAATATTGTCAACCCCGAAACAACAAACTAAACATTGGTTCCACCCTGGAAATATTCTGTAAACCATTTAAATGTGTGCTTTTAAACCCCATAACGTATACATTATTAAAAATAAAATATTCTTAGCTTATTTATCGTAACTTGAACCATAAATTATCTCAAAACTGCATGACTGTGGCTGACGGCAGCCACACAGCTAAAATATTATGATTCGGCATGTCCTTCTTTACAACATATGTGAATTTCATGTCCCTACGTGGAATTTAACTATTTTTAATTAATTAAAAGCAACGGGCAAAACCCTAGGCCCGAAACCACGATTTTTAGACCCTTTTTGGCCGCTGTTCGGCCATCGTTGATTCGAGGCGCCCGAAAACTCTTCTGGTGCATCCCAGCACTGGCCCGAACCACATACGTCGAGTTCGTGCCGGTCGCATCGTGTTAAGCGTCCGTTTGGGGCCGTACGGCACTTTTCCCAACTTTTCTGTCATGTGCTCGGCAAAGTGGCATTTCTCAACCGATTTTCACCAAACAAATGTCGATTTGGCATGCCGCCGTCACCCAGAGCTAGCTCAGGCAGTTTGGTAGCCGTAGCTCGTTGTTCTGGTGCTGTTCTGGGTCAGAGGTCAGAAAAAATGATGGATTTCAGCTGAAAACAGGGTTCTCTTCAACCTCCAGACTTGACACTGATACTGTGTGCTCCTTGACCTCACAGGTCCATCATGTGTTAATTTCAGACAGATTGGAGCTTGTTTTCACACAAATGGAACCAAAATTATGTGAAATTGGGCTTCGTGCGACATAATTCTGGGGGCCATTTAAAAATCATAAGTGCTAATGACTCCATTCCTTCTGCTGGTGATAGGGGCTGGTAAGCAGAGTATTTTAAAACAAACCTGACCTCTCTAGGACATTCAGAAGCCAAGTTATGAGCCTCCAAAGCTGTTTTTCGAAACCGTCCTTCAAGTCACACCAGGCCTGGTGACCTTTGTGACATCATCTGACCCCCTTAGGAATGTGCTATCATCATGAAACGTGCAGATCATTTACAACTCCATAGATTCTCCCTTCCTGTTATGTTTCAGCCTGATTGGACCTTGTTTTCACACAAATGTAAACAGAACAATGTGAGATTTTGAATGTACAACCACTTTATTACAGCTGCCATTTAAAAATTATACATTCTTTGGACTCCATTTATGGATTATAAGTAGCACACCATTATTTTGAGTACAATAAAACAGACCCTGACTTCTCACTAAGGTGTCACATTCAATTTCTCACTTTGTGATGTACACGACTGCAGCCAGGAGCACAGATGCTGCATGAGCAGCTGAACAAACTCTTGTGCCAGGTGACAAAGACGTGTCCAATAGAGGTTCTGGTCAGCAGGGAGCTGCTCCTGTGTACTGTCCCAGTCAGAAGTTATTTCCACGGCTTTGGATCGCTACAATGTCAAACACACACACACACACACACACGAGAGGATATGGAGGAGGCTGGTTTGGACTTGGAGAGACATGACTCCTTTCAAGACATGTGGATGGATTTGAAGGAATAATGTTTACTCCGCTTGGGAGTCACCGTGTTTCTGCAGCCAGTTGAGTCCTATAACAAGAGGAGACTGTTTGAGACACTGTGCTTGAGCTTTGCCTGTTAAACAAGTGCGATCAGCCTCCTATTTGGACAAGTGTTGTCATGGTCTGCGTCAGCCCCTTCCCTTTTTGTGCCTCCTGGTGTCCTCCATCCCTCTCTAGATTCCCTCTTGTGTCCTTTTGTTCCCCAGCTCCTCTTGTGCTCCACTCCAGGATCTCCCCTTGTGCTCTCTTAGCGCCCTCATGTGTCCTTGTCTGCATCCCTGTTATGTGTCTTATGCTGTAGCTCTTTGGCGCCCTCATGTGTCCTTTTTCTGCGTGTCAGTTTAGTGTCTTATGTTTGTAGTCCTTTACGTCTATTCCTCCCAGGTCTTGTGTCGTCTCGTTCATCCCCAGGTCATCCAGGTCTCATTTACATTCTGTGTCCTTTTAGTCCCCAGCTTCTTTGTCCCCAGCTCAACGTGTGTGTGAGATTCAGCCTCCTGCTCAGTATTTGTGTGTAGTTCTGTGTGTGTGTGTTAGTCCTTCCCGCAGCCCTTAGGTTTAGTTTTGGTGTCTTAGAGTTTCTTAGGTTTATTTGGCCCTCCTCTGTTTCTGTTTGCCCATTTTGATTATTAGGTTCACCTGTCTTCCCTCCAGCTCTCACTTCACACACCTGCTGCCATTTTCCCTAATCACTTCTCCCTGTGTATATAAGCTCTGTCTGGTCTGTGTCTGATGTCGGTTCATTGTGGTATGTTGTCTGCGTTGCTCGTGCTCTGTATGAACTTTGTCTCCAGGTTTTTGTGCTCTAAGAAGAGCTTTGGGTGTTCCTGTTCTCCAGGACGTTTTGGACTTTGGCTCGCTGCCTCGGATTACTTTTTTTCTTTGTCCTAAACTAAAAGGATTTTACTTTGAACCACCTTCTGCCTTTTGACATCCTGGGTTCTGCGTCTTGGGTCCAAACCATCCTCCTCAAATCGTGACAAGTGTCATCTGTGGCACACCTGAAAGTGCAGTACAAATTTGAAGCCAATCGAACAAAAAAAATTCCAACCTATTGCCCCTTTAATTTTTTAGCTTCGGTCACTTTAAAATCATTTTCTTCTAAACCGTAGGAGCTGAAATGACCGTTCCAGTTAAAAAGGATTCATTTTTAGTCCCCCCAAAGACACATCCTAGTTTTACAGCTGTTGCATTACCTCTAGGGCAGTCTAGCTGACCTCTGCACGCCAAGATGATCCTTCCCATTAGGTTTGGCTGGCTGGAGGAGGTGAAGTCATCCAAAGTGTGTTACTGTGGACCCAAAGAGGAGCTTTTAGTTGTTTTTTGCACAAGCATTAGCTGAGGCTTAGCTTTTAAAATTGATTTGAGCCAACACTCACCTGAGATGCTGCACGATTAGCATGAAGGTTTAATGGGTTAACTGGTGCAGAGCTAGTCTTCCAGCAGGTGCATCCATGTTTCACGGTGTCTAATCCTTAAAGGATGCTTCTGATCTCCTACTCAGGTGTGACAGTCATGCAGTGGTGACGTTTTTACCGCGTGTCTCTGCTATGTTTTGGTCACGTGAACTCCTGCGCAAAGCTGCTGTCACAGACGCGCGTTTTGCTGAGTCCGGGGAGCGATCAGATCGTTCCAAATGATTGTGCAGTGTCCAGGAGCCTTCTGTCCATCAACACATGTGCAGATTTCAATGATCATACCACTAGACTATCTGCTAACGGCTTGCTGTCTGCGCAAAGCTCACCACCATCTCCGTGCGCACAGGTGGTTCACGCTTGGCTGCCTCCTCTCGTCGTGTCCCGTTTTATCAGCGCAGCTGCCCAGAGATTCCCGTTACATCCGTCCTCTTGTTGTTTTATCAGCTTAAGTAGGTGTGCAGTGTTTCCCGTTACATCCGCGGTGTTGTTGTGTGCTCCCAGCTGACATCCGTGTCCCGCTCCATTGGCACAGTTGTCGCGCGCTTCTCCGCTCTGCCCAGTCACCGGCATTGGCTCAGTTGGCATGCGCTTTGTGGTTATCTCCGCCCAGTCACTGGCCAATTACCTCTTTCTTGGAGTTCATCTACAGGTAAGCATCGTGTCCACGTTTCTCTGTAATAATTAAATGGTTTAAAGTGCAATTTTAGCGTGAACAGTGAATAGAACATGTGCATGAAGTTGTCATCTAGTAGTGTTTGTCATGTTAAAGTTGTAGTTCCTTGCAGTAAGCTCAACAGAGTGCTAAAATCCACCTTTTCTCACAGTGAAATGAGTGCAAATCAATCTCATTTAATAAAATGGAAAGAGTTTAGCAGCACAACACACATATAAACTACAGGTTGTATATATATAAATGACTACAATGCATAACATGTCCAAAAGTGTTTGAACCTTTTAATAAGCTGTGCAGGAAGTTCTCTTAAAGCAAAGGTTTTTAGCCACTAGAGGGTGCCATTTTGTAGTCTTTGTCATGTTAAAGTTGTAGTTCCTTGCAATAAGCTCAACAGGTTAGCTGTTACACTGTGTTATTACATTTATGACAGCTTGACATGAGCACACACCAGTGTTTACACAGGATTTGGTGTGGAACAAAGCATTTACTGGACAAGGAGACTTCTGTGACTTTGTGTAGCTTCACACAAGGGTCAAAAATTAACACTTTCTTCTATTTCCTGTCCTTAGACACACTGACATCATACATCAAACATACATACCTTAGTGACCATGGCATCCAAGTACCACAACTGCCCCATCTGTGGCCGCCCCTTCGCAGCTCTCTCCCACCATCTCAAAAGGGCCCACAAGGTGGACAACGGCGAGGAGCATCAGCTGCTGCTCAAGCTAGCAAGCAAGTGGGTGTTCTTCCGTTATGAGCCCTGCCCCGTCTCTGGGTGCACCTACATGTCGTCCAGGTGTGACAAACACCTGGAAAGCAGCCACCCGGAGCTCTCCAAGGAGCAGCTGCAACGGGCTGTAGACACCGCCCAGAGACGGGTGACCATCCTCCAGCTGGCAGCCCTCAGGGCCACTGCCCCTCACCCGCCAATGGTCAGCCAGCTGGACCAGGAGGAGGACGACTCTGACGTCTGGTCAGAGGAGGAGGCGGAAGCGCAGGCCAGCTGCCAGGGCTGCAACACCCTCCAGCGCAAGTACGAGGGTGTCAAGCAGCAGCTGGACAACCTGCGGAAGACCTTCCGCCTCTACCACCGCAGGGTCTCCAGGTTCGAGCGGAGGACTGGGAAAGTGAGTTACACATGCTTATAAATTCTATTTAACTCATGAAATAATACTCAGCAAGCACGTGATCAAGTTGCTCCTTTAAACCACGTGTTTTATCATTGAATTTTTTCTGATGTACAGCACTTTGTGCTGTCTCTGACTGCTGTAAATGTGCTATATTTATAAACTGGACAGTGACATTCACATGTAATAACCATTTTGTTTATTTTTCTTGGCTTTTTTGTTTTTTTTTAGAAAATCACTAAAGACCTCCCTGTTCCGGAGGAGGTGGACGTGCGTCCATCCCCGTCAGCCGCAGCAACGCAGAGCCCGGGAGGAAGTTCTGCTGCAGCTGGCAGACGCCCTTCCACTCAGCACGCTGTAGACGTCCTTCCTCCGTGCACGTCCGTCCACCACCGCCTGCCTTGACCTCTTCTTCTGAGACCTCCTCCCCTTCATCGTCACCGACAACCTCCCCACCATCACCACCACCACTCTCCCCACTCTCCCCACCATCACCACCACCGTCCCGGCCATCCAAGACGCCCAGGGTCTCTTGGGAAAGCGTCTCGGCAGGCGTCGGCGGACAGGCCGGCAGCGTCGCCCCGTCCTCTGGCCGGAGCGAAGGAGGGGACTCTGCTCCACCGGCCAAGAGGACCAGGAAGGTACACCACACCGGTGGCAGCCCGTCTTCCCCGGAGTCCAACCAAGAGCCCCTGTCGCCACGGGAGTTGGCAACGACGCCTCGCCCGAGTCCCGCCTCGTTGCTGTCCGGGTTCTCGGCAGCGATGGGTTAGTTTTCTTATCTGTTTACCTCATGTCTCGATGAATATCCTTCCCAAAGGATTCCTCCTTGTTAATTGCTACGTGAACGTGTCTCCACAGATCAATACCTTGACGACTACCGCTGCTTCCTCAAAGGGGTCCAGCACACACACAAGCAGGTGGACAACGTGGCCTCCAAAGTCACGAGGGTCAGGAGGTTCCTGAATTTCATGGCGGTGGGGGCCCTTAAGGTGTGGGACTGGACCTTCCTGTCACGCACGCAGGTCATCGTGGAGTAAGTGTACATCACCTGCAGTCAGGCAAAATCACAAAGAAAAACAAAGTGTTGAGCTTTTTCTATTATGTTCTCTTCAGGTGGGTCGGGCATCTGAGGAAATGTGGCAAGAAGGTGACCACCGTCACCTTCTACCTCAGGAACATTTACTCCTTTATGAGGTACTTCAAGGAGACGCCACCACCTCAGTGCCGGCTGAAGAGCACGCAGGTCACTGCAGTGATGCGCACCATCCTGCAGTGCATCAGGCCTCTTCTCAGGGATGTCAGAGTACATCAGATGAAGGTGAAGGCGGCCAAACAGTTGTGGCTCATCCCCGCGTCCGATCTCCGCCTCCGCTGCGAGCGCTGCCGTCAGGCCATTCCCGGGGTGCTGGGTAAGAATCGGTGATGTCGGTGTTTACGCTTTGGAGGATGTCACGATGGGTGACAGGTTCTGTCGAGCGGAGATGTTAAACAGAGCTCACTTGTGTTTGATCTTCACAGAACAAGTGGAGAAGGAGCCGAGGGACCCGAAACTCCGCCACAGCTTGTTCGGCTACTTCGCTGCTCTGATTGCGTCCATATATGGACACCGGACGGGCGTTATCGCCAATATGAAGGTGGCGGAGGTGACGGACGCCCGAAGCCAGTACAAACCCGGTGGCCCCGGGTTTATCATCAACGTTAGTAGAAAAACACTCCTTTGTCTTTGCTTTGGGCATCATTTCTCTTGTGTTTAACCACGAGGTGTCCTCTGTTGCAGATCGCGGAGCACAAGACGAACAGGTTCTTTGGGTACGCGCAGGTCTTCCTCAAAGAAGACGAGTTCCAGTGGATGGAAAGGTGGCTGGCCGTCCGAAAGGCGCTCAAGCCAGACGGAAATCTCGTCTTCTTTGGAGCCACTGCGCGCCAAAACAAGAACTTGGTCCGCTTCCTCCAGGCGGCGTGGGAGGAGATGGGGCTGGCAGGGAAGCCCACGTTCACTGAGCTCAGGACCGCCGTAGCGTCATATGTGAGTTGTTTACCAGCGTTGACGTGTGACTCTATATGTCGCACTTTGTGTAGATGAGCTCTTAACCAACCACAGCCAGCAAGTTATTTGCTGGACTAAAGACAAAAATACTCACTGCATTTTCATGTGTCTCTTCTTTGCTTCACGGCTTCAGGCCAAGGAAAAGCACACTCCCAGGGTGAGGGAGATGATCTCGGCGGCCATGTGCCATGACGTGCGCACGGCCGACAAATTTTATTCTGTCTTCCTGGACCCTTTCAAGAGCGGCGCCGTCAGGGACATGTTTGAAAAATCCACACTGGAGGAGGACACTACCCGGGAGGATCCATTCGGCATGACGGCCGAACTGCAAATGATCTTGCCGAGCGAAACGGACTCTGCGGAGACCTCCGCTTTTACACCTCAGCTCCCTCAGGCCAAGAAGGCCCGGCGGCGTCACAACAGCTCGGAAACAGAGGAGGAGGGCCACGTCAGCTATCAGGAAAGCGGTACCTCGGAGTCTGAGGAGGAGGGAGACTCTCTGGAAGAGGACGAGGGCAACCGTCGGGGTGTAAGTTCATTCACACTCTGAACGGATGTGTGTTGTTGAGCACTGTGACCCTCCCTCACCGCTTTATGATGATTTCATTATGTGTTCATTCTCCAGCAAACCACACCTGTCCAAGGCGCACAGCCGGAGACGACCGCCCCAGCGCTGCCTGGACAACCTTCTGAGGTGAGTTCTTTCAGTCGCCATTGTTGACATCATCCTGGGTTCAGTTGCTTCTGGCTGTTAACCTTGAAGGCTGCTTTATGATGATGATGACTTTATCATTAATGTGTTCCACCCTAACCCTGGACAACCGGAGCAAACGGATGAACTGGAAGAAACGGCAGAACCTCAGCCGACTGCAGAACCTCGGCAAACAGAGGAGCCTGAGCTGGCATCATCTCCCCTGAGCTCACGTGTGCCAGCTGTAAGTACAATTGAAAATTCTTCATCTGTCATTGAGCTCTATTGTCATTTCTAAACGTGAGTTTTTATCTTTTGCATGATCGCACACAGCGAAGAACCACCCGAAGGGCCAAGCCATTGTTGGTAAGCATTGTTCATTTCATATTTTGATCATTATATGTTTTCCTGTTTGGAAATAACTAATGAATGTTTTCTGTTTTCCTATACACATCAGCGTCAGTATCCCAAGGTCCTCCTGAGCCCGCTGAAACTCACAGCCAAGAAAAAAAGTGAGCAGGCAAGGCGGACGCTACGCTTCAAGACGAGGGTAGTCTTGTAGTTTATTTCATTTGTTTCATTTGTTATTTTACACCCTGTGGCTGTTTTTTGTTCACTGTCATGCAACAGTCTCATTTTGTCTACTTCATCTTTTATTGGAAAACTCCTAAGTCTGTGCTATTAAAGCAGAGTTTTTGAAAACATGCTGTTTTGTATTTCACACACACACACACACACACACACGCACGCACGCACACACACGCACGCACTTGACCTTTTCCATAAAAATGTAGGTAAAATTAGAAACTTTTGCCATTTGCCCTACAAATGTAGGTAGAATGACATGCTTTTGCCATTTGCCCTACATATTTAGGTAAAATGACAAACTTGACATTTGCACTCTCACTACTATGTCATTAAAATTACTAATTACTATTATTACTAATTACTAATTACTATGTCATCAAAATAGCAAACTTTTGA